GCCTGAAAAATGGATGTCAAATGCTCGAGTGACTCAGTACCAAGCCTTTTTACTATATCAGCCTCAAATTAAGTTTCAGAAATCAGCAGCCCTGAATCCAGCCACCCTACTGCCAGATGTTGGCCCCAAAGGGCCCCTCCATAACTGCCTCAATGTGATAGATGGAATCCAGTCTACCTGACTGGATCTAAAGGACACCTCGCTCCCTTCAGCCGAAGTGATCCTGTTCACCAATGGGAGCAGTTTTGTGCAGAATGGAGTCAGGTACGCGGGGGCAGCCGTGGTCACCAGAGAGTAGACCACATGGGCACAGTCCCTAAATCAGTGGACTTCAGCCCAAAAAGCAGAACTTATTGCTCTAATTCAAGCCTTTAGGTGGACAAAAGATGAGACTATTTACACAGACAGTCAATATGCCTTTGCTACTGCCCATATACATGGGGCAATTTACAAGGAAAGGACATTAAAAACAAGGAAGAGGGACCAGCAGGTGGTGTGGTGGTTACGGTGCTGGACACTCCCACATGGCTGACCACAGTTCGAGTCCTGGACCTGGCAGCTTGCTTTCTCAATCTTTCTCTCTGTCTCTCTCTGGTCAAATTAAAATAAATGAATGAATAAATAAAATAAATTAATTATAAAAAAATTAAAAAAACAAGGAAGAAATCCTTGCCTTGCTGGAGGCCATATGGCTACCTGGAACCATGGCCATCGTGCACTGTAAGGGACATCAAAAAGGGGACTCCCTTGAGGCTCAAGGGAACTGGGCAGCTGATCAAGCAGCTTGGGAGGTAGCCCTAAAACGAGTGGGGCTCCTCCAAGTCCCCATCACTATGACTGACCCAAACCTCCCAGTTAACACCTACTTATACAACAACAGAAGAAAACTTTGCAGATGAACAAGCCGTTGGAAAGCCATGTGGATGGTTGAAGATGCCTAATGGAAAGCTGAGGATCCCAGAGGCCCTGGTCAGACAATAGTAGAACAGCTGCACCAGATGACTCATTTGGGCAAGTCCAAACTCACAGCACTCCTCAGAAGTAGGTATTACATACCAAAACGAAACTTCTTAGTTGTTAATATTACCTCTAGATGTTGTTTGTGCCCAGGTAAATGCTAAACAAACAGAGTGACTATGGATATCAGAAAAAGAGGGGAAGTCCCTGGAACACTGGGAGGTGGACTTCACTGAGATAAGACCCCCCTCAAATGGGCATAAGTACTTATTGGTCTTTATAGATATCTTTTCAGGATGGGTAGAAGCCTTCCCCACTAGATTTCAAACAGCTGCAGTTGTTACTAAAAAAAAGTTATTCCAGGATTTGATTCCTAGGTTCAGGTTACCTATGACAATTGGGTCAGACAATGGGCCTACTTTTGTCACAAAGGTCTCACAGGATTTGGCAAAAATCTTAAACATCAACTGGAAATTACATTGTGCCTATCGGTCCCAGAGTTCCAGGAAGGCAGAGCAAATGAATCAGACCCTAAAGGAGACCATAACTAAACTAACTCTAGAAACCGATGAGAGCTGGATACTGCTTCTCCCCCTGGACCTTTTACAAGTTAGGTGTACCCCTTATGTGGAGGGATTTACCCCATATAAAATCACGTTTGGAAGGCCCCCTCCACTTCTTCAGTTATGTGAAGAAATGAAGGCTGAGATCCATAATCATACCTTACTTAGAATATTGCAGGCTCTGGACTCTACCCAGAAGGCAATTCACGCTGCATCCAAGATGCTCTGCCTGTCCCCTCATCAGATGCAGTTCACCCGTTTCAGCTGGGAGGCTCAGTGTGGGTCAAGAACTACACTACGGGGGCCAGCAGGTGGTGTGGTGGGAAAGGGCACTGTAGTCCCACATGGCTGACCGTGCTTCGAGTCCTGGACCTGGCAGTTTGCTTACTCCCTCTCTCTGTCCTTCTCTGCCTCTCTGGTCAAATTAAAATAAATTAATTAAATAAACAAATAAAATAAAATGAAATGATTCTTTAAAAAGAAAAAAAAGGGCCTCAAGAAATCAGGCTATAAAAAAAGAAAACAAAGAACTATGCAGGGATTGATCCCTACCTGGAAGGGACCCTACACCGTCATTCCCACCACCCCAAAGGCCATCAAGGTCAATGGCATTCCTACCTGGCTGCCTGGCTCCAAGTAAAGGCAGAACAGTAGACATGGAGAGACCACAAGTCCCAGGGCCTCCTCAACGTAAGACTGTCCTGTATTTCTTAATCAGCCTCTTTTTCTTGGCTAGGACTGAAAGGACAGATTGGACTTGGGAAATGTGGAATGGAGACAGAAAATTGTTAAATAACACTTATTCCATTGGGAAAGTTATTTCACTTTACCTTGATCTTTGTCATCTTTTTCTGATTGAAACCAGTTTCCAATATGGGGGGGATGGATCCACTTTTGAATGGGCCTGTTTGTTGGGGGAATCACAAGTAGGATGGGCTTCTGGAGAGTTTTATTTCTGCCCAGGCCAAAGGAGGGATGACTGTTTTTTTTTGTTGTTTGTTTTTTTTTGAGAGATTTTCACTGTAGGGCGCGTGCGCTCGCCAGACAGACAGAGAGAGACATAGAGACAGAAAGCGAGAAATCACCCCCCAGGGGGGATGGTCACGCCGCAATCCCTTCTCCTCCATTCTCCTCTCGGGATCTTGGGCACGCACGCACACGCGCTCGGCGTGAGTTTTAAGCCACCGGGTCCGGGACACGAACCGCGGTCGACTACGTGGGAGTCCAGCGACATAGCCATTACGCTAACTGCTGGTTCCCAAGGAGGGATGACTGTTTTTCAAGCTCAGATTACTACTGCCCCTACTGGAGTTGTGAATTGCTAGTTCTGAGAGCCCTGAGGGCTAATGCTCCCTGGCAACCTGAGCAACTCAATCCAGATATAGAAATACAGAGAGTCCCACCACCACCACCAAATTGTGGCCTGAGGGCATATGATCCTTTAACCATTACCATTCCAAATCCAACAGATCCAAAGTGGTTCAATGGACACAGTTGGGGAATACGCTTTTATGCTTCAGGGAGGGACCCTAGAATGCTTTTTACCATACCACTTTTTACCAAAAGCGGGACCTATCCCAAGAGAGGCCCCGAATAGAACCTATGGAAAAGAATATGGCCCAGAACGTCCTACCCCGGCTCCCTACCCCCAGTACGGCCATTTAACACTCCAAGGTCTAAGCTTTCCTTGACCACTTAAGCCCCCTCTGAGGCCTCGCACTTAGCCATCCTCACTGTAGTACATCACCTCCTAAGTTCTCAGCCTGCACTAGCGGGAGATTGTTGGCTTTGCCTGCATACCGCCCCTCCCTACTATGTAGGGGTAGGACAAGAGCTGCCTATAAATAGCACCTCAGAGCAATGTACTATCAGTTCCCTCATTTAACCTTGAGCAATGTTCAGGGCACTGGAACCTGCTTAGTAAATCCAACCTTTAAAAACTCCACTTATTGGGACCAACGATTGGTGTAATGGCTATGTTGCTGGACACCCATGTAGTTGACTGCGGTTTGAGTCCCAGACCTGGTGGCTTAAACTCACGCCAGGAATGTGTGCGTGCGTGTCTAAGATCCCGAGAGGAGAATGGAGGAGAAGGGATTGTAGCATGACCATCCCCCCTGGGGGGTGATTTCTCAGTTTCTGTCTCTGTCTTTCTGGTGAGTGTAAGCACTCTACAGCAAAAACCTCTCAAAAAAAAAAAAATCCACTTATTTACAGTTCTGTAACTCTTACCTACTTTGTGAGTGACACTAGGGTTAGTTATCAGGCTCCCAATCTCACTTGGAGGGCTTGTACAAATGGATTATCTCCAAGCATCCCCACCCTACACGTGGAATTTTGAGTCCTTGTCCAAACTTCCCCCTCCTGTCAATATATTCTGGGAGGCAGGCCGACATACTCTGTCCCCACCATCACCCTGGGCACGTCAAAAGCAGATCCCCATTTTAACACCCTTACTAGTGGGTTTGGGCATTGCAGGATCAGCTGCTATAGGAGCCACTGCTCTCATCCAGGGGGACCAACACCTCCAGGAGCAATCCTGGTTGATTGATACTGACCTAGGACCATTAGATGAATCTATGGCTCACTTGCAGGAACAAGTGAATTCCCTGGCAGAAATTGTGTTACAACTGCAGAAGAGGGCAAGATCTCCTATTCTTAAGGCAAGGAAGCCTTTGCATAGCTCTAGGGGAAAACTGTTGTGTATATGCAAATGAAACTGCAATTATCCCAGACAGCCTATCTCAAGTTCAGAAACACCTCAAATCAATGAGAACAATAAAGAGAACAGTCCAAAATTTGGTTTCCAAGGGTTTGATTATTCCCCTTGGGTGACAAGGGGGCTGTCCTACTACCTGAACATGGGGTGGAACTCCTGTCTCACCATTACAGTCCCTTGTCCCAGCTCTCTGGAACGCCCTCTGCTCTCATGCCACCTGTTGTCCCTCTTGCTATCCCCACACCCCCTGCTCGGCCTCCCGGGGCTCATCATCTTCCTCCCCACCCCCTCTGGGCCCATCTCCCTGAGCTGCCTCCTCCTCCCTGTTTGCTGTCCTCGTCGCTCGGGAGACCGAGTTTTCTCTGGAATTTTAGCTCCTTTTCTATTACCCTCTTGACTTCTTTTTTTCACGGGAAATGTCTCTTTGCAAACGTTCCATTTTGCCATTTGTTTATGGTGTTCCCCGTCCTTTTCTTACCAGCGTTTCCAACTCCCCGCTCTACCCTCCCTGCCCGCTCCCGGGGGACGGGGAGAGCTGGGTCGGGGAAGACTTCTGGGTCACAAACGGCGCCAAAGGCGGGGCCCCGGCCCGAAGGCAGGAAGGTGGGGGCAGGAGCAGCCTCGGAGCGGTCCTACCTCCAAAGGAAGCGGCCGCGGCTCCCGGGGCGGCGCCGCCGTTTACACGCCGTGGGGGGACGGGGCGGGACCCTCAGGTGTGCAGGGACCCCGGGACCCAGGGACGTCGGCGCGCTCAGACTCACGTGCTCCAGGGAGACCTGCGTCCCAGGAAATCAGCTTTGGGGTTGCAGGAAGCTGCGGGTGGAGGACTGGGGGCGGGCCACGCGCTGCGGCGGGGGCCTGGCCTCGGGGCGTTACGGGGGCGGGGCGATCATGAGTAACGGGTCAGAGCTCGGATCCAGGGCGGGCGGAGAGACCGCGGGGGAAGCGACCTGCACGGCGCACAGGGAGAAGCCAGATCCAGGCTGGTGCTCCGGAGAGCCGGACCTGTGCTGCACTCTGCCTGCACCTTGCTGAGTCTCTTTTATTTTGGTGGTTTTACAGGAAAACTGGAGAATGTGGATGAGACATCGAAGTGAAGGTTTCCAGCCAGTGAGTAGTGCAGTGGTTTAGGCGCTGCACTCTGGCACAGCTAACGCTGGTGATCCAGGTGATTGGTGTAAACATGTCCAAAATCCCTGCAGGAGAGTGTAATACAAGGAACTGCGGCATGGCCATGTCCCTGTGGGGTGATTTTTTTTTTTTTTTTTTAGGATAAACTGCATAGTGTCTTAATCAAGCATGTTATCACCAATACTATTCCATTTCTACTTTCATACATATGTATACATATA